GGGGCATAGAGAAGCTGATTGTCGAACTCTCACCGATGGTCAAGTTGATGCCATGGTCAGTGAAAATCATGTTGAAGGAGGAAAATTTCAAGGAGATCTTCGTGATCATCTCAATGCTAAAAAAAACTAATTTAAATAGGCTGGAAATTGGTGAAATGGATGAAACTGTTAAAGATTTAGATGTAGGGGCTGAAAAGAGTGATGTTCAAGATCAAAATTTGGTGCACCAAAATTCTGGCCAGCGCCTAAGCAAAGCAATGTTGGACGACTATTCTTCAGGGAATCAAATGTTATCCTTAATTCCTCAAACTGGTGAGTTTTCGCGGCAAAGTATTTCTATGTGTATTGGTTCCTCGGCAAGTCGAAGTAAATCTCCACGTCTTGAAAATAAGCAACAGGTAACTACTAATCTAGTAGTGCAATCTAATGGATCAAAGGACATTGTTTGTACAAATCCGTTTGAAGCACTCGGGGTGGAGAAGGAATTAGAGTTAATTGATTCTAATCCCTCGAAGGAGAAAACTTTGGTTCGAACCGACCCTCATAATAATATACAATCAGTTAGCACACCAATTGGAGTATGTAGCATGTGGACCGACAAATATGGTAATGTTATGAGTCCTACAGTAGCTAAGGCTATTCAAGAAAGTCAGGCTGCCATGTTACTCAAACCCAATTCAGCGATCAAGCCACCCATGGTCACATTGAGCATCTTAGCTCATGAGGTCACTTCCCAAAATTTGGATTGATGAACATCAAGGTGAATTTGGACAGCTCTTATCATCCACAGGGAATGATAAAATTTTGGCGAAAGGTATGTCACCACTCTCTCAAGCTAATTTTACAAATGATTTGTTAATTTCAAAAGAAAACAACAAGGGGAGATGAGTACTCCTAGGTGGGCTGATTTGGTTGATGAAGAAGAGAATGTTTCACTTCCTCTTTTGAATAGAAAATTGAATCCACAACTCTAGAATTTGTACCTAAAAGTACAACTGCAAAGAAGAATGAACAAGAGGCCTTAGCATCAGGATTTAGTCTAATTAATGCTTATGCTAGTGATTTGGCCGATGATTCTTTTGACGAGGGTGAGGACGAGGATGAGGATGAGGATGAGGATGATGATGAGGATATGTTGGACATATGCTTTGATAAAGTGGCTAGAGATGGGGATATCTCACCTAGGCATCAAAGAAGTGGAAGCAACAAAAACAAAAAAGAAGACACATGGAAGACAACACAGTTGAGATGGTAAAGTGACAGGAGTGTTTGTTCCAAGGCACCTGCCGATGCGACTGGCAAAGCAAAATCATATGACAGTGTCAATAGCTTCAACAAGATCCAATACATTTAAAAAGCAATGATGAAGTATCAAATTTTGTTGGCCATATTTGAAGAAGAAGACAAGAGGCGAAAATACTTCAGATTACTTTAGATGGGCTATCTATCATTTTAAATTCACACATTTGTAAAAGTAAGTTTGAGGTTGATAACTCAACTTTCTTCTTGGATTTTATATTTGTGCATTATTTAAGCATTCTCATTTGTAATATCATCATAGAGTGTATTACGAATTATGTGATGATCATAGAATATCTAGTTCTCTAGCTCTTATTCTCTTCATGCTTGTTAATTAGTAGAGGTCTGTTACCCCATAGGATTGACAAGGTAAGGCTTAGCCCCCCTTGCTTGTACTTATTTCTATTGAGGATTTTTGTTTTAATAAAAAAATGTTAGACGCTAAAAAAAAAAAATCTTGTTTACTTCAACTTATATTAAGATACATTGAACAAATTGATAGTGTCAAAAAAATAATTACACTGGCATATTGTCTTCTTTATCTATTATTATGACAAATAATCGTCTTATTTTCAGTATCACAAAAGTTTCTTTTTCTGAAAGTTATCTGTAAATATCTTTAATGTGATTTGATAACTTAAATATAAAAAATAAAAATAAAAAATACACTTTCAATGCATATAAAAGCTAAGCACAATTTTTTCCCGAAAAAGAGTAATAGATCTTTATACTATGAAATAAATTATATTTGTCCTATACTACTTTTTCAACATATTTATTATTATCATTCAATTTTGAAGTCATTAAATTTTAGAAATAGAAAAATAAAATTATATGCGCTCTATAGATATAGTTTTGCTATGGAGCATCTGATTTGTATAAAATCACAGCGATTTGTATAAATTGCGGTGATTTGTATAAATTAGGTGTCTGTGTCTATGAATATGTTCTTTGTGTTAGACTAAAGTGGCGATCAAGATTAGAAGAGAGAGGAGAGAGGCGAGCGAGAGAGGGCAGAGAGTGGAGAGAGATGAATTGTACATGTATATCGGTTAGATAATTATATATATGTAACTACTATGTATATGTATCAATGATTATGTTTATATCTGCATAAAATTTGAATTTGTATACAATTGAATCGAGTTAAAACATTTGTATTTGTATATCAAATCCCTCTCTCGCTTTATACAAACACAAATTGTACATTGTATTTGTATAATTTGTGTTTGTATAAAGTGTGTGTGTGTGTGTGTGAGAGAGAGAGAGAGGGGCAAAAGAGAATTGGGCATGGGAAGATTTGTATAATTATAAGTGTATAGGATGGAGAGATATGTATTTGTATTTGTATTATACAGTCTCTCTCGTTTTATAAAAACACAAACACAATTTATACATTTGTGCTTGTATAAAAGTGAAAGAGGTGAGGGAGAGAATTGAGAGTGGCAAGTGAGATTCAAGGGAGAGAGACGAGAATGGCAATGTGTTTGTCACGAATTGAAATGAAATGAAACTGTAGCTATAACATTTATTTTAAATTAATAATTTGCTATAATACAGAATTTTCTCTATTTTTTATAATAGATTTGTACCTCAAGATGAGAGCAGATCATCCATGGTAACCAACTTTGATTAGGTTATCAACAGTGGCAAAAAGATGTCAAATATTTTGAAATAAATTTCTAAATGCCCAAACGACTGTTATATATAGTATTATTTGAGCGAGAAGGGAATTAATAAGTGAGAAAATAATTTGAGACGTTCACTAAAAGTTTAAGTAAAAGAAAATGATTATATAAAAATCTCATGTGTTTTATTTATAGATCTAATTATTTTATTAATCTCTCGTGAAGAATCATATAACAAAAATATAACATAAATAACGAATTATAAAATCAAATCTCTCTTAATATTAAAGTCAAAGTAGGAAAATAAGACACATCAAAATTGTGTTTCTTGAGAAAAAAAAGAGTGGATATGAGGACCATAGACTAAATTAGTTATCTAGCCATTTTGAAATTTTATTAATGGTGTCGAGGGAAGAAGGATGTCGTTTGGTAGGAAATAAGTTATGTTGGGCTATTGCTGATGTTATTTTGTATTTTAATATTAGAAGTTTAAATATTAAGTGCATAATAATGAGTAGGCATAACGTGTAGAAAGTGATGACATAATCTTTTGTAACTCATGTAACCACAATTGTTCTCCTTGTTATCTTTTACGAATTGTCTCACAATCCTCAAATGACGGTCAACATTCTTGACATTTATTTGTGGAAGGAATCCTACACCTATATAAATGATGTTTTTTCGTTGTGTTGAGCGTGTAAGAAAAGGTGATCGTGTAGTACTATAATGTGTATTGAGGTTAGTATTGTGAAAGAGAGTTGAGAAATAGAAAAAATATTTTTAGTCTTCAATTTATTTACTGGACGTTGTTGGATGGCCGAAGGGACAAGTCAAGAGATATATTATTGGATCGGTGTAGATTATAATTTATACCGCAATGAGTTTGAATCTCTTCATAGAGAATGAAATTTCCGGGCCTTAACACGGTAATTTATTGTAATTGTGGTATATACATCAAACAATTATTCTTAAATTGTTATCCCACCTTCTATGTGGGATAAAATTAACATTACAATCTCAAAATAAATAATTCCAATTTTATTCCAACCAATATAAAATAAACTTATCCTAAAGTTAATTTCGAAATTAATTATCCATTATCCCGAACATGAGATTAGCAAAACTGCAAAAGCATTACTGATGCATCACAAGTGCCGTGTGTAGATTTCTCTGCTTTTTAAAAAAGAGCAGCTTCATGTGACACATACAACTCAAACTTTTTCACTTTAATCATTCAGTATCCATTATATTGCCATTATAATCATAGAATTATTTGAGTGGGTCATTTTTTGCCACATCATTATTCATTGCAATAGTTCTAATTTATTTATTCTTTCTCCCAATAGCTTTTATAAAATCACAAATTTAATTAGTTGCATCTACATCAATATCAACATAACATAGAATTAAAATTATTCAAACTTTTAAGAGTAACATATTAAACCTATCTCATTTTCTAAAGTTACTCGTAAGAAAAAAATCACCCAAAATCATATAAGAAGACAACATCGCATTCCTAGGATTTTTTAACTGTTTATTATTCCATCTATAATCCCATTAATTGTGGCCTTGAAAAGAACTTGTACTAGATAGAGTTGAGGCCCACATTTGCTATCCATACACCTATTATTTTCTTCTTTTGATAAAGTTCATCAAACCAAAACATTATAATTTACTATGCTAAAATGGAGAAATTGTACTCATTAGCATTATCAAAATTTTGACAGAATTTTCTTTTGATAAAGTTCATCCACTTATATATATACACACAGTAATAACCTGGGAATGTGAATAATTCAGAAAAATATGTTGCAAGTAAAACTTTATTGTAATGGAAACATGACCATATTCTCTACTCAACTTGCTAATTGTTTTACTGATGAACTCCTGAGAAATGAAAATTACCGAGGAGCTAAAGGTGATCGATGTTCCTTCGAGCATCCATCATCGAAATTCTGAGAGTAACTGTAAGCATCATAGCTAAATCGAACAGAACTTCTCTGCCACGATAGAAGTTGCCTCCACTGTGACTTTAACCTCCAATATAACTGCCTAGCAATGTAAAGTCCTTTGAAACAATTAACCGGTGCTCTTCTTTCAACACTAACCAGTGTAACATCACAACTGCTGTGTGCAACTCTCCGTCTGTGACACTTCAACATCTGAATCATCTTTGAACTTCTCATCATCAAGATTTTTGACCTTTGCCTGCTTACCAAACATAAGAAAGTAGATAGATATCTGTTGGTTTTAGAGGACTTTGAAAATTACAAATTTAATGGAATGTGTAAAGAGGAATATAATGTATATGCTTTTCAAGTGTATATATTCCATTTGTAGGCATCAGCTTCGTTTATATTGGATGTCCTTTTCATATATGCAGTGAGTGGAGGTGGTTCTCTCTCATATCAAACACGACAGCTGTGTGTTGTTTCTTGTAGGGCCTGACCGTCCAAACTTCAAAGAGAACAAAAGGCTATTCCAATTGATGTAATGTCATTCTTTTTTGTAGTTAAGGCACTAATTAAGGATTAGACAGAATCTTACCAGCACAATCCCATTTATTGCCCAGTGATATTTTCTTTATCTAAAATCATTATGATAGGAGCTTGTTATTTTTTTGATGACAAAGGAAACCCGCAGCCGCTACCCTTTGGATGCGCACAGGATAAAACCCCCGCTCCTATGCAATAGCTCGCAAACCATATAGGAGAGGTAACCAACACTAGACAAGCCTGGTGCGACGAGCTCGACCCAGAAGGCAAACCCCCTGCTTTTGTTGGCAAGGAGTTTCGAACTTGAAACCTCCAACATGAAAGTCCCAAGCTCAAACCACTGGGCCACCCCGAAGGGTATGATAGGTGCTTGTTATGATGTTAAAGGAAAGCTCCCTTCAGCTCCTATGCAAAAAAAAAAAGTTCTCTCCGCCAACTCTTTCACTATAGATCATTGGATTGAAAGGACTAATATCCAAACAAGTAAAAGAAAAAAAAGGATCAAAAGGGGATACGTGTGTCATAGAATGCCTCAGCATCTCTCTTGCTATCCACTTCTATCGCTATTTTAGCTTTCCTTTAATTGCTTTATTGACCTTTTTCTTATTCTTTTCTTTGTTCTTTAACTGGAATAAGAGAAAGATAATATATTAGAAAAGTGAGACCTATGAATGAAGAAGAGACCCAACTTGAACCTTTTACCTTCTAATATAATAAAGATGATCCTACGTCAAGGAGTCAACAGTCAACATGAAGTGAGTGGTAATCCTATTGGACAAGGAACGGTTTTCTCTTGTCACTTTGTGCATTCCATCTTAAGCAAACACAGCAAGAAACAATAGAAATACTTTCTAGTTAGGTTTTTATCATGACTAAGGGTCTACATGCCATCCAAGTTCTTTCACAGCTCTGATCACCCTTAAAAATGAAATTATGAAACGTAGGTTCTTCCATCAATGTGACCGCCTTACCAATAGTTGAAACTCAATGGTGAGAATGTTTTGGCTATTCTCCAAATAATGCACAAAAACTTATAGTCACAATAAATACATTTAAGAAACCAAGGCTTACCGGTTACGCCTTCAAGAGAAAATATTGTCAAGTGCTAAATGAACCAGATTCTACATCAGAACCACCAACATGACAAACATGAAGGCACCAAATTCTCTCAGCAACATCACCTGCAAGTGTTGAACATAAATCAGGCTTTGAGAGTACATAGTATACTCCAAACAGAAGGGATGTTCAGGCTAACATGAAATAACCTAATGAGAAGACAAATAGCAGAAACAACCAAATTTTATTACATGGTCTCTGAAAACCCATATATCCATAGAGAAATTATTTAGTGCCCGGAAAGGTATCATCGAGTAGTTCACACGGCAAGATTCTTCACTTAGTGATCTCATATTAAATGATGTCACAAGACAAATAAGCCTTAATAGAAAGCTGCTGATAGGTCCAGCTTTTAAACCAGTATTAGATAAGGGTATTAATTTTATCATAATGGCAGAAAACAACTGAGAAACCCCAGATCTAGAAGGCAAGTAATGTTACCTACATCTAGGTGTAACTGAAACAGGAAAGGTTATTTATGCCTGAAGACTTTTATCTACTTAAGTCAACTATAACAACAATAAAAATTTGATTTCCAATCGTTCCAGAGTTCGTTTCAGAAATAATAGAAATTGTTTCATCAGGTCTAATAATAAAACTTGAACTTAGTAAAATTCCTGGCTTCATGAAAGACATTAACTAAATGCTACGCAGAAAGGCCTTCGAGAAGTAGATAAAATAGTCTGTGAAACATTTCAGTTCATAGTTTCCAAGACATGGTCATAGTCAATCAATGTATACATAACATTAATACAGAATGAGAGAAAGGAAGATAGGAAGAAATCATAGCAAACCCACATTCTCTATACTTCTTCCTTTCCTTAGTACTACTATCGGATCTGCGTAAAAGAAAAGAGCAAGGAAGAATAAACAGCAGAATAAAGCTCTTAGCCAAGATAAGAAGCTGAAGTATAAGAAATTCAATATTCGAAACACTGATCATTATTACCAAAAGAAGCATGTGACATGAAAGTGTACCTAGTTAATGAAAAGTCTCCTGTAACTTGACCGTCAAGCTCTGTCAGATATTTTCTGAACAAATTTGACCTGCATTAATTAAACCAGCTATTCATTGATAAACTCCAAAAAAAATAAAGTCTGTAAGCTGACTGGTGTAAAAGGATTGATCACTTCACTGTGAGAAATCTCAACAGACAACAGGATATGAATCTCATACCAGGAAGGAATTGCAAATGCTGCTAGGACTGGAGATAGTTCCCACAAGAGATATAGCCGATTGTGTAAGAAAACTTCAAGGTACTCAATAATTCCTTTTTCCTATTACAACAAAAAGAGAAAAAAAAAGAAAAAGAAAAGGACTATAAACCATCCACAAAGAGAACAACAATGTAAGAATGTTCATAACGTGGAAAATTGACAAAAGAATGCAAACTGAATAGAAATGCTTACTTTCCTTACAGTTTAACACAAGAGAGAGAGTCTAAGATCTAGAGTGAAATTTAGATACAGTGCATGTTAGGGCAACAAGTTGAATATCTTGAGGTGAATGCTCACATTCTGGCCTGGTTTTGGAATTGTGCAGAAGCTACTTGTACAGATTATAATTTCCGCAGGATATATATAAGAAAACTTAAAATATAAAGTGAATAAATCAAAAGGAATATAAAAACTTTGCTCAAAAAGTGATTTAAAGAGGTACAATGTACATCTATCTGGTAATGTGTGACATGAAGACGAACACGACAAACAAGTTAACCTCACCTTGGTGTGTACACAATGATTGTTCAAGTATAGTTGGATACATCATAGATTTGCTTTTTTGCACAATATAAATTAGACATTACAATTTCATTCTTCTCAAATGAATTTTATGTCTTCTAACTAAACACAATCATGTCCAAGACATTAGACTTAGTTTTCCTGCCATAGTGATCTATGTACATTAAGAAGTGACAAGAAAAAAAATCAGGTAATAGACAATGTAAAGAAAGGACATGGCCCAGTTTCAACTTAATGGGGACATGACCTAGATAGGAGGGGTGGAGGACACAGATCAAGGTAGAAGGTTAGTAGGTCACAGTGGTCTTGCTATCCGTACATATTAGTAGTCGTAGTATTGCTCTTGTAGTTTCTTGTCCTTCGATTTCTGTTACAATCACTTGTTACTTGTAGTTTATGTTGTTGGTACCATCTGTTGATTTTTCTATTATTTGTTGCTTTTTGTACTTCCGCTATTTTTCCTATGACTGCTTTGGACTATTTTTCCTTGAGCCAAGGGTTTATCGGAAACAGTCTCTCTACCACTGAGGTAGAGGTAAGGTCTGTGTGCACTCTACCTTCTCATACCCTATATGGTGGGACTACACTGGATATGTTGTTGTAGACAATGTAAAAAAAATGGACATTCAACATAACTCAACCCCAAAAGCTAGCTCATGAGGTGAGGATTATCCAGCACCATTTAGGAAACAACTCGTTTCTTCAACCAATGTGTGAAAATCTAACACCTCCCCACCACCCTATCAGGAATGAACATCTAGAGCATGGAGAATATAACAAACAAATCCACATTGGGTAAATCAAGAAATAGGAATGGGTATGGCTCTACCATATAAGGAAAATAAAGTTTGAGCCTAACTCAATCCTAAAGCCTAGGTCATGAGGTGATGACAGCCTAAAACCATATAAGGAAACAACATATTTCCTCAAGAAATGTGGGATAATCTAAATGGCAAGCCAGGCTCGAACCTGTGACTTATAGGTCACATGGAGACAATTTTACCATTGCTCCAAGGCTCCCCTTCCGATGTGGGACAATCTAACAAGCAAATTAAATTATTATTTTAAAATATAAAACGATCTAACCTATATCTAGATGACTAGATCCATACAGACATGCCCCCAAGGCCTAGCTCAAGTGGCAAAAGGTGGAGGATTTGTGGCTTAGGTCGCAGGTTCAATCCCCACACCATGCAAAGCAAAGCCCGGTATTTAAGTGGAGAAGGGTAGAGGGGCGGGCCCATTATCCACCGAGTTTAGAAGGCTGTGATTGGTCCAAAGGACGAGTCACAGACGGATTTCTCGGTTATCAAAAAAAAAAAAAAAAGATCCATACAGACATGAAATCCACGTATGACGAACAAATAATACTATCAATTTCAGTTAAACCATTGCAATTTTATTTTCATAGGCTTGACATGCAGCTCTTCCTACTAGACAATGAAGGGATTTCATTCCAAAAAAATGATTACCTTTGAGTTGCTGGTTTCCTCCATACAATCTCTCTGTACCGAGCTATGCACCTCATTGTATAGCCTCGAAGTGGTGACAAACTCATAAGAGGTCAACATCAAACGGTCAATCAGAAAACTCCATCTATCCACTACACATGCTAGTAATGCGAGCTCCTGCAGAAGATGGGTTTCAACAAGGAAAATTAGTCATATATTTGTATAGATACTTCTCTCAAAGAAGATCTAGCTGCATATCAAGAAATTCCATACTCTAAATAGACTATTAGTTAGTTGCTTTAGGACTGCAGTGTCCATTTCTAAGTTTCCTGTATTTCTTTAGGACTGCAGTGTCTATTTCTATGTTTCTTGTATTTCTTTTTTCAGTTATTTTAGGGGTAGTTACCATGGTTAGCACCATGACTTAAAAATAGGACCATGATCTATTGCAGTTTCTTTAATTGTATGTTTATGTATTTTGGTTCTTTTTACAGAAATACAACTCTCTGCATAAGCTTTTCTCTTAGTCATCTTCACATTTAAATTCCTTTTATTCTCCTGCTTTCCTTTCTGTAGCAAACTAGATATTGTCTTCATTGTGTTAACTGTCATCAGTCTTATTAAAACTAATAGTTGGTATCGGAGCTTTCATCTTAAGGTATCTGTGATCGAATTGGAGAAGCCATGGATGCTGAAGCAAGTTTCTCACCAATTGCTCCACCGGTCTTTGATGGAGATAATTATCAGATTTGGGCAGTACGAATGGAGACGTACTTGGATGTTTTGGATCTCTGGGAAGCTGTGGAAGAGGATTACGATACCAAATAATCCTACCATTGCTCAGATTAAAGCAAACAAGGAAAAGAAGACAAAGAAATCGAAGGCCAAGGCATGTTTATTTGTTGCTGTATCGTCAACAGTTTTCACGCGAATAATGTCTCTGAAAACTGCTAAAGAAGTATGGGATTATCTCAAGGAAGAGTATTCTGGAGATGAGAGAATAAAAGGTATGCAAGTTTTAAACTTAATTAGGGAGTTTGAATTGCAAAAAATGAAGGAATCCGAAACAGTGAAGGAATATTCAGATAGACTTCTAAATATTGCAAATAAGGTGACGCTACTCGGCTCTACATTTTCAGACTCGAGAATTGTTGAGAAGATCCTTGTAACAGTTCCTCAAAGGTATGAAGCAACAATTACAACCTTAGAAAATACTAAGGATTTGACAGAGTTGCTCAATTCCCTGAAAGCTCAAGAGCAAAGAAGACTCATGAGAAAGGAGGTTACAACAGAAGGGGCTCTTGTCACTCTTGTCAGTAAGCATCAGGTTAACAAAATTCAGAAGAAGAAAAAGAATCAAGCAGTGTGTGAAGGAGAAACATCAGCCAACAACAAAAGTAAGGGAGCAAGCGCGAAGAAAAGTTATCCCCCTTGTCACCATTGTGGAAGAAAAGGCCATCCACCATTTAAGTGATGGAGGAGACCTGATGCTAAATGCAAGAAATGCAATAAGCTTGGACACAAAGCAGTGATTTGCAAGAATAAGGCCCCACAGGAGGAAGGAAATGCTCAAGTTGTTGATCAAGAAGAAGAGGATAATCTTTTTGTTGCAACATGCTTTTCAAGTAAGAGCTCAACAGATTCTTGGTTAATTGACAGTGGTTGCACTAACCACATGACTCATGACGAGAGTTTATTCAAGGAGTTGAAGCCCACTGAAATTTCCAAGGTTCGGATAGGAAATGGAGATCACCTTCTTGTCAAAGGAATTGGAACCATAGCTATCTTTATGTTCCTGAAATTGATCAGAATTTGCTAAGCGTAGGACATCTGATGGAAAAAGGATTCAGATTTTTCTTCGAAGATCATCACTGTCAAATCAGTGACACTACTGGAAATGAAATTTTCAGGGTGAAGATGAGAGGAAGGAGTTTTTCCTTTGATCCAACAGAGAAACAGCAACTAGCTTATTCTATGAAGGCAAGTGTAACAGAAACCTGGCACAAGAGACTTGGCCATTGTCATCTACAAGCACTATTGTTGCTGAAGAAGGAAGATATGACAAGAGGACTACCAACTGTAGTTGATCACTTACCAAGTTGTCAAGCTTGTCAATTTGGTAAGCAAAATAGGAAGTCATTTCCTAAAGCAACATGGCGGACTTCTCAAAGGTTGCAACTGATTCACACAGATGTTGCAGGACCTCAAAGAACACCATCCCTTAATGGTAGTCTATACTATGTTATATTCATTGACGATTATACAAGATTCTGCTGGATATTTTTTATGAAATATAAATCAGAAGTGGCTGGAATTTTCTTGAAGTTCAAGAAGATGGTGGAAAATCAAAGTGGTTGCAGAATCCAATCTCTGCGGTCTGACAATGGAAAAGAGTATAATTCTGAAGTATTTAACAAATTTTGTGAGGAAGCTGGTATTACTCATCAGCTTACTGCTCCATATACTCCACAACAAAATGGAGTTAGTGAAAGGAGAAACAGATATATAATGGAGATGTCGCGGTGCATGTTGCATGAAAAAGAGTTGCCGAAAAGTTTTTGGGCTGAGGCAGCTAATACGGCAGTATTTCTCTAAAATCGGCTTCCTACTAAGGCATTGCTGAATAAAACTCCATTCGAGGCTTGGAATGGATACAAACCATCACTAAGCTTCATTAAAGTATTTGGTTGTGTTTGTTTCTTCCATGTGCCACAGGTTAAAAGAGACAAACTTGACAAGAAGGCACTTCCTGGAATATTTGTGGGTTATAGCTCATCCTCCAAGGCCTACAAAGTATATAATCCACAAACAGGGAAGATGATTGTCAGTAGAGATGTACACTTTGCTGAGGAAGAGAAATGGGACTGGAAGGACAATCAACTTTCAGTCAAAGCTTCAGAGGAGCAGGCATCTGATCACTGCAAAACTTGGGAGTTAGTTGACTGACCGAAAGATAGGAAGGTCATTGGAGTAAAATGGGTGTTTAGAACCAGTCTCAATTCTGATGGTTCTATCAATAAATACAAGGCTAGGCTTGTTGTCAAGGGATATGCCCAAATATTTGGTGTTGATAACTCGGACACCTTTGCTCCAGTAGCCCGATTGGATACAATTAGGTTGTTGCTAGCAATAGCAGCACAAAAGGGATGGAAAGTGTTCTAGGTAGATGTGAAATCTGCTTTTTTAAATGGTGTACTATTGGAAGAATTCTATGTAGAGCAGCCCGAGGGTTTCTTTGAGCAACGAAAAGAAGAAAAAGTTTGTCTGCTTAAAAAGGCTATTTATGGCTTAAAACAAGCTCCAAGAGCTTGGTATAGCAGGATTGATGATCACTTGTTGAGTTTGGGGTTTGTACGAAGTGTATCTGAAGTTACTCTTTATGTCAAACATAAAGGAACTGATCTTCTCATTGTTTCCCTTTATGTTGATGATCTCTTGGTGACAGGAAACAATGTGTGGCTGGTTGAAGAGTTTAAGAAGGAAATGATGCAAGTTTTTGAAATGACATACTTTCTGGGAATGGAAATCAAGCAAGGCTGTGATGAAATTTTTATCTGTCAAAAGAAGTATGCTGGAGAGATACTTAAGAAATTCCATATGGAAAATTGCAAGGCAACAACCACACCAATGAATCCAAAGGAGAAGTTAAGCAAAAGAGGATGGAACTGATCAAATTGATGAAGGAAATTTCAGAAGCTTGATTGGATGTTTGATGTATCTCACTGCTACAAGGCCGGATATTCTATTTGCTGTAAGTCTTTAATCTAGATTTATGCATTGTGCTACTGAAATGCATTTGCGAGCAGCAAAAAGAATTATAAGATACATTAAAGGTATTGTTGAATATGGTGTCAAATTCAAGAAGTGTGAGACTTTCAAGATGTATGGATTCTCAGACAGTGATTGGGCTGGATCCATTGACGACATGAAAAGTACATCAGGATATTGTTTCAGTCTGGGATCAGGGTTTTTCTCTTGGTGTTCAAAAAAACAGGAAACTGTGGCACAATCCACGGCAGAGGCTGAATTCATTGCTGCAACTGCAGCAGTAAATCAAACCTTATGGCTGAGAAAAATATTTTCTGATTTGCATATGGACCAAAAAGTTAATACTGAGGTTCATGTTGATAATCAAGCTGCAATAGCCATTTCGCATAATCCGGTGTTCTATGGGAAGACTAAACACTTCAACATCAAGCTTTTTTCTTGAGGGATGTGCAGAAAAAAGGAGAAGTGATTCTTGTTTATTGCAAATCTGAAGATCAGCTAGCAGATGTATTTACGAAATCCCTTCCTGTCAGCAAGTTCGAGTTCCTAAGGCAACAACTTGGAATTTGCAGCTCCTAATGCAAGGACGAGTATTAGTTAGTTGCTTTAGGACTGCAGTGTCTATTTCTAAGTTTCCTGTATTTCATTAGGACTGCAGTGTCTATTTCTAAGTTTCCTATATTTCTTTAGGACTGCAGTGTCTATTTCTAAGTTTCCTGTATTTCATTAGGACTGCAGTGTCTATTTCTAAAGTTTCCTATATTTCTTTAGGACTGCAGTGTCTAATTTCTAAGTTTCCTGTATTTTCTTTTTTCAGTTTATTTTAGGGGTAGTTTACCATTGGTTAGCACCATGACTTAAAAATAGGACCATGATCTATTTCAGTTTCTTTAATTGTATGTTTATGTATTTTTGGTTCTTTTTACAGAAATACAACTCTCTGCATAAGCTTTTCTCTTAGTCATCTTCACATTTAAATTCCTTGTATTCTCCTGCTTTCCTTTCTGTAGCAAACTAGATATTGTCTTCATTGTGTTATCTGTCATCAGTCTTATTAAAACTAACATAGACAAACCAATCAACTTAATTACCTTCTAAGAAAATTTGCAGCAGCAATTAGTGTTACAATTCAATTGGAATAGCTTATTTTTTAGATATCAAAGAAAATAATCCCATGAACCACAATAGGTTTTTACAGAACAGCACTTGAATAACAGATGTCTGTGCATATATTTGAAAGAACAAAACGAACTGATGCAAATTCAACAGTCTGCTACATTAAGGTAATTGTGGTTTAGCCGTACAGTTTGACATAGCTTATAAGTTATAACAATCAATTACACCACAATCCTAAACCAGTTCGGATTACAAATTTTGTATATCTACTCCACTCTATTTACTCTGAATTAACATCACTATTAGCTAATTTGTCCTTTGACGTGAATTGAGATTCTACAATCTAACCATTATTCCTACACCAGCATCCAAGTCAAGAAACAAAAATATTGAAGAAACTCCTAACAAACAGCACCAACTACTTAGTATCACTTTAATTAATATATACAACCACTCCTTAATCTCAATTAGCATCTCAAATTCCAATGTTATGCCTTAAGCAACTCGGCCATCTCTCCTATATAATGATTATGACCCAAAAACCGAGTAAATAACGAGTCAGTCATAACAGTTATTGATTGGATAGGTGCGACCAATCTATTCTAACTAGAAAAATCAAAACTTTGCATTCCCATTTGATTTTTTTGAATATCCTCCTGTTAGTGGGACATAGCAGGTACTGGGTGGAATAGTCAAAGTGAGCAAGCTGCCCGGACACCACCGTCACGAAAATTAAAAATAAAAACATTTCCAGAAAAGAAGATTTGAAGCAGAGAATCTTTGAGAAAGATATATAAAGTGACTTACAACTATTTCACACAAACTATCTTCAAGTTGAGATGATATATCTATCCGCTGAAACACTTGAATCCATTGTCTCTTCGGGGCAGAAAACACCAGGCTGGCACCTGAGACCAGTCTAATAGTTCTCTTGTCAAGCAAATATGAGAGACTTTTTGATTTCCAATAATTCCAGACAGCCAAACCGATTGGTTTTTCTTCAGTCCTTGGGGCATTGACAAGAAAAGACTTTATTTTTTACTGCATTACAAATGAGGTCCATATATACTTAACTACTCATGTAAGAATGAAGGAAAAATATGTATACATGATCAATAGAAGAAATCATATTCTGCCACAACAGCAGTAATCAGGCTTATTAAATACTTTTGCCACCCCACCATTTACAGCTTATGAGGTTTTAGCTTAAGCCTCTCCATCCATTATACTGAAGCAGCATTAGAATGAGATCATGTAAGAAGTCATGAAATATTGACAGACAGCTTACTGAATATAAATCATCATTTACGAGTTACTATTCCAAAGTTACTGCAATGCAAATGCCAGTGGATTAAGCAATCAGTATTTTTTGACCATGAGGGTAAGAGGTGCTATGGTGATTTTTCTTCATATGGGATTCAGCTTGTTTATACAATGCAAGCAATATGCTCCTTTTCATGCCAAATGGTTTCTTTCTTTTCATGACAAGTGGTATGGTGCATCATGGTAATGGTTTCTTATGCTACTTTAAAGGCTTTGAGGTTCAAAAATCGTTATATTTTAAGAAAGAAACCCCAAACAAGACAAAAATCAAGATAAGAAACTACTTCAACCCTGGCCATGATGCAGAAGAAGTTCACACATTCTACTTTTAATTTCTTTGAAAGACACATAGCTTATAGAATTCATGAAGCTGACACACTAAACGCCGACCTGAAAATGGTCTTTGAGTTAGTTAAATAGACAGATTGTCTGCATCCTTTACGTGAAATGTCCAAATAACACAGAGTCAATAAAATAAAGAACTACTCCAGCGCATGTCATGATGAAGAAGAATCTACGACGTTTGGCTATTAAGTTATTTTGGAAGACACATATGCTAATGTAATTCATAAAGCTGATAAATTTTTTCTTTTCATATAAGTGAGTTCATAAAGCTGACACAATACATGCAGAAAATGGCATTCGTGTATGTTAAATAGATAGAGTGTCTACATCACTTACATGAAATTTGTTGTCTGCATCATTTTTACATCTAAAGCATTGTCATCCTCCCTCACATACAGATCTCTTAAGCCACTAGACAAAATGTTCAACCCTGTCTCTGCTGCAGATATCAATGAAACTGATAGTTGCCTCCTTTCAAGCGCTTGTGCAGTGAAGAGAGAAAACTCACATCTGATTGAATCATCAGCTTGTTCACTTGGAGAAGAATTTGGCAATGAGTTTAGAGATTCCTCCCTTGGAAATTTGTTCTCATTAGGAATAGCATTTTTAGATGTATTACACATCAAGGTTTCAAAAATGTCATTGAGAGATCTACTATCTGTCTTCTGGTGCATGTGATAATCCATCTCAACACTTGCATTCAGTAAAGCTTTCAAGTGTTCATCTCTCAGTGGAAAGACACTGATGAGATGTTCTAGCATGAATTCACTTGCTTTGCTAAGGACCTTCGAGGAAATATGGGCTAGACCCTGTTCAAAATATTAACAGAAGGGAGCCTTCCCTCTTTTCAGAATTATTTAATTTGCAATAGTAAACAATAGAAACCAGTAGAAGTTAGAAATACAGAAAGCATAAAAAACAAGCTAATGGAGTATAATATATCACGGACATGTAACAACAAATCCACTACCTGAGGGAAATATGGATTAGAGTTTATTTCACATAAAGCTGCATCAAGCTCCTCCAAAGAGTCTTTATAGTCTTCTGAGCTACTTAAGTCCCTCATCACCTGTGCAGAATTAGCCACAGTTTTATCTACAAAATGTTTTCCAGGGAGGGGTCATGGAAGTAAAGAAGACATAGATATCTCAATAGACAACCTAAAGAATCAAGGTTTTCCACTAAAGTAGCAAAATGAAGCAATCGTGAGTCATGACCGAGGATCAAACACAAGCATAAAAAAAAACACATCTATAATTTTCAGGTACACAAACTGCAAGTGACGAACTTTCATCTAAGCTTCCTCTAAGATACTTGAGTATCCACTTCACAGCTTTCCAATGCTTTTTTCCCGGATTGTCGAGAAATCTACTAACAACACCAACTGCGTGAGCAATATCAGGTCTAGTGCATACCATTGCATACATTAGACTTCCGACGACGGAGGAATATGGAACTTTGGCCATGCTCTCTTTTTCCTCCCTAACTGTAGGACACATCTTCTTGCTCAACTTCATATGACCAGCAAGTGGTGTACTAACAGGCTTAACATTCTTCATATTGAAGCACTCTAGTACACGTTCAATGTACTTCTTCTGGGACAAATAAATCTTCCTTTCATCTCTGAGACGAGTAATTCTCATGCCCAAAATTTGCTTGGCATGACCCAAGTCTTTCATAGCAAAAGACTTACACAACTCTTTCTTCAACTCGTCAATCTTGGATGTATTCTTGCCCACAATCAACATATCATCCACATACCGCAAAAGGATGATAATCATCAGAAAATTTTTGTACAAATACACAATGATCTGATAAAGTCTTCTTATAACCTTGCTCCCCCATAACAGATTCAAACTTCTTGTACCACTGTCTAGGAGCTTGCTTTAGGCCATAGAGACTCTTTCTGAGTTTGCACACAAAATTTTCTTTACCATCTACTTTGAAGCCCTCAAATTGTTCCATATAAATCTCTTCTTCTAGGTCACCGTGAAGGAAAGCCGTCTTCACATCTAGGACTGTTCAAAACCGAACCGAAACCGATAACCCGAACCGAAAAAAAAGTTATTGGTTTAGCGGTTTTAATAACGATTTTGATTTTTTTTCTTATCGGGTTATTGGTTCTTAACGGTTTGAGGTTTTTTCTTAACCGGTTAACCGATAACCCGATAGTAAATTAAATAATTATATTTATACCATTTTGTATATAAAGTCCTTGACTTATAGTTTGGTTTCTTACTTTTATTTCTGGTTGTCTTAAACACTTGGTTATTCTACAATGTAAAAATATTTGCTTTTGAGCAAGATGTAACTTGTGAACTCATGTGCATGGTTCATTTGGTTTGTCACCTTGTTTCTAAGTGATTTTCAATGTGTATTTTTGTCAAATCTTAACGGTTAAACCGATAACGATCAATAAGTTTCCTACTTTTATTTCTGGTTGTCTCAAACACTTGGTTATTCTACATGTAAACATGTTTGCTTTTGAGCAAGATGTAACTTGTGAACTCATGTGCATGGTTCATTTGATTTGTCACCTTGTTTCTAAGTAATTTTCAATATTTTTTGTGTGTGTCGAATCTTAACGGTTAAACCGATAACCGAACCGATAACGATCAAAAACCGATAAACCAATAACCGATAAGTCAATATCTTAATGGTTTGATAACGATTTAGCATCTCTACAAATCAATAACCAATAAGCCAAATCGATAAACTTAAAAACCGAACCGAACCGACCAATACGCAGCCCTATTCACATCCATATGCTCAATCTCTAAATTAAGACTAGCAGCCAAACCTAGGACTGTACAAATTGAGGACATTTTCACAACAGGAGAAAATATTTCGTCAAAGTCAATACCTTCCTTTGACCAAATCCCTTAACAACCAATCTAGCTTTGTACCTAGGCTTCAAGTTGTGTTCTTCAACTTTTAACTTTGAACACCCACTTGTTCTTCAAAGCTCTCATGCCCTTGGGCAATTTTAACAACTCATAAGTGTGGTTCTCACGTAGAGACTTCATCTCATCTTGCATAGCTTCAATCCATTGATCCTTGTGCTCATCTTGCATGACCTCCTCATAACATTCAAGTTCTCCCCCGTCAGTGAGTAACACATACTCATTGGGTGAATAACGAGAGGAAGGAACCCGCTGTCTTGTGGACCTCCTAAGCGGAATATTTGATTCGTCCACAACTTCATGAGCAGGAGGATCATCAATAACAATATCATTGCTATTACCAACATCACATGTTGATTCAATACATGATTACGGGCGTCACCATGATATCAAGTCCAACAACATCATGCATACTTGTGTGAGGAACTTCATCTAGATGAACTATGCCATCAAAATTTGAAGATTCTAGCTTCTCCGCTTTTTAATGTCTTCAATTGTTTGATTCTCCATGAAAATAATATCACGGCTTCTCAAGAGTTTCTTCTCAATTGGATCATATAGCTTGTAACCAAATTCATCAAGGCCATATCCTATGAAGATGCACTGCCTTGTCTTGGCATCTAATTTTGACCTCTCATCTTTCGGCACATGTACAAAAGCTTTGCAACCAAATACTCTCAAATGATCATAGGAAACATCCTTTCCATACCAAACACTATTTGGTACATCACTTTGCAAAGCAACAGCAGGAGATAGATTATTAACATGTGCAGCGGTCAATAAAGCCTCACCCCAAAATGAGTTCGGCAACTTTGCTTCAGAAAGCAAACAGCTAACTCTTTCCATCAAGGTCATGTTCATTCTCTCAGCCAAACCATTAAGCTGAAGAGTCTTAAGAGGAGTCTTCTGGTGTCTAATACCTTGATGCTTGCAGTATTTGTCAAATGGTCCACAATATTCACCACCATTATCAGTACAAATTCATTTCAATTTCTTTCCAGTTTCTCTTTCAACTGAAGCCTGAAACTGCTTGAAGATACCTAACACTTGGTCTTTAGTCTTCAAGACATAGATCCAAAGTTTTCTCGAGCAGTCGTCAATAAAAGTGACAAAGTAAAGTGCACCACCCAATGTCCTTGTCTTCATTGGACCACATAAATTAGAGTGCACCAACTCAAGCAACTCTGTCTTTCTCTGTCTTTCTTGAAGGAGGGTAGGACTTAAAGGAAACTCTATTTTGTTTACTAGCCAAGCAGTGCTCACACTTTTCTAATTTAGCACTTTTGAAATTTGACAATAATTTCTTCTTGGCAAGAATATCAAGTCCTTTCTCGCTGATGTGGCTAAGCCTCTTGTGCCATAACGTTGAAGAGCTATCGCTCTCAACCGTATTCACCATATCAACACAAACAAAGGCCGTAGTTCAATATAGACCACGACGTTTGTTACCACGAGCCACAACCAAGGAACCCTTAATGAGTTTCCATTTTCCATCACCATTGGTACTAACATATCCTTCATCATCCAAAACACCAACAAAAATCAGGTGTAGACGAACATCAGGAGCATGTTTCACATTGTTCAAAATTAGTGTAGTTCCAACACTAGTTTCCAAACAAATTGTACCAATACCAACACCCTAGAAACAGCCTCATTACCCATACTCAAGGTTCCAAAATCACCAAGAGTATATGAAGAGAAAAAATCCTTCCTTCATGTCACGTGAGATGCGGCACCAGTGTCCACAACCCAGCTTGACTCATCACAAGCAATATTTATCATATCTGCATCAAGGACGGTAACAAGATCTTCGATGGTGACGGTGGCTAGGCAATTTTCATTTGCCATCTTCTTTAGTTTCCTCTTTGTTTTTGTTCTCCCTCTTCAACTTCCTGCAGAACTTCTTTGTGTGACCTTTCATGCCACAATGATAGCACTCAATATCCTTAAGTCTGCCTCTGGACTTGCCCTATTTTGTTCTCTATTCTGAGAACCACGAGTTTTGTTTCTCCCACTGGAGCCAATTATCAAGTTATCAGGACATCCGACGAAGAACCTTGAGTTTTTCTTCTTATCTCTTCGTTCAAGACACTACTCTTGGCAGAATCCATAGAGATCACACCATCCGGAGCAGAATTTGAAAATAAAGTTCTAAATGTTTCCAAGAGTGTGGTAGGGAACCAAGTAGAAGCAAGCCTTGAATTTCTTCATCAAATTTGATGCCCATAGCAGATAATTGGTTCATGATCCCCTAAAAATTATTCAGATGGTCTATCATCGAAGAACCATCATGATACTTTAAACTCAACATCTGTTTTATTAAGAACATTTTGTTGTTGCTAGTCTTCCGAGCATACAAACTTTCAAGATGCTCCCATAGGGTTCGAGCATGTGTCTCCTCAGAAATATGGTTCAACACATTATCGTCAACCCATTGTCTAATGAATCCACAAATCTGTCTGTGCAACAGATTCCACTCTTCATCTGTTTTATTATCAGACTTTATAGTGGTAAAGACTGGATTGTAAAATTTTTTGACATAAAGCAGATCTTTCATTTTCCTCTTCCAAATGGCATAATTAACACCATTCAAAGTAACCATTCTTGTGTTGGCTTCCATTGTTTATTCCCAAAAAATATAGTTATTGCAAACCAAGTAAATCTTTTCTAATGTGGAAGTTCAGACTGTGCTGCAATCACAGAGCATACTCAGATAAAATCTTGGCTCTAATATTCAGTTTGTTGGGAAAACGCGGACTAACACACCAATAGATATGGCCAAATGATAGAAATAAAATAGGAAAATAATGACACCAAGAATTTTACGTGGAAACCCTTTTAAATAAGGGAAAAACCACAGGTCAAGAGAAGCAACTGATATCACTATAGTAAGGAATTTTACACTATGTAATCACTAATACAATATTCAAAGTGACTATTACACACTCAAAAGAAATAACACTCTTTTGATTTTCACCTTACTAAAATATCGCTCACACTCTATTTTTCTTCACAGACTATTTTTCTTATATAGTCTATGGAAAAAATATACTTTGCTCTCAAAATCTATTTTTTTTCTCTCTAACTTGGTGTGTTTTTTTAAATGAGCAAGGGCCCTCTATTTATAGGAGAAATCTACTCCTAATGATGTCACCAGTGACAACATAAAAAGAACACCAAGGTTTCAACCTTTGCAACTATGCAGATTTCTTGGTAAGATTTTAGTTGAAAAAAGAAATGGTGAGCTTTGGTTTGTTGCAGCATTTGTTGACTTTAACAATAAGCAACAAACATTTCAACCTTTCCTGCATTTCAACTTTCCTTATATTTATCTATAATGGGTATGGACCCCACAAATCTCCCCCTCCAGACCCATTCACCGGAGGAAGGCATCTTTCTTTTATTTAGAGAGAGCTCATACCGACAAGTTCTTTGCATAACTCTCACTTGTCTTTCGGTATTGTCTTGGTCAGCATATCTGTAGGATTTTCACTTATGTGGATCTTTTTTACATGAAATGATTCACCCTCCACTTCCTCACGAATTCAATGATATCTAACGTCGATGTGTTTTGTCCTTACATGATACATGGAGTTCTTACTCAAGTCTATTGTACTCTGGCTGCCACAGTAGACAATATACTCCATCTGATGCAAACCAAGCTCTTGAAGAAATCGCTTGATCCATATCATCTCCTTGCCGGCTTCAATAGCCGCAATTTACTCAACTTCAGTTGTAGATAGTGCAACACAGTTCTGCAACTTCGACTGCCATGATATAGCTCCCCCTGAAAAATTAAACAAATATCCAATAGTGGATATTTGTGGGGTCCATACCCATTATAAATAAACATAAGGAAAGTTGAAATGCAGGAAAAGTTGAAATGTTTGTTGCTTATTGCTAAAGTCAACAAATGTTGCAACAAATCAAAGCTCACCATTTCTTTTTTCAACTAAAATCTTACCAAGAAATCTGCATAGTTGCAAAGGTTGAAACCTTGGTGTTTTTTTATGTTGTCACTGGTAACATCATTAGGAGTAGATTTCTCCTATAAATAGAGAGTCCTTGCTCATTTAAAAAAATACACCAAGTTAGAGAGAAAATATATTTTGAGAGCAAAATGAGGTATTCCATAGACTATATAAGAAAAATAGTCTGTGAAGAAAAATAGAGTGTGAGCGATATTTTAGTAAGGTGAAAATCAAAAGAGTGTTATTTCTTTTGAGTGTGTAATGGTCACTTTGAATATTGTATAAGTGATTACATAGTGTAAAATTTCTTACTATAGTGATATCAGTTGCTTCTCTTGACCTGTGGTTTTTCCCTTATTTAAAAGGGTTTCCACATAAAATTCTTGGTGTCATTATTTTCCTATTTTATTTCTATCATTTGGCCATATCTATTGGTGTGTTAGTCCGCGTTTTCCCAACAAACTGAATATTAGAGCCAAGATTTTATCTGAGTATGCTCTGTGATTGCAGCACAGTCTGAACTTCCACATCAGAAAAGATTTACTTTGGTTTGCAATAACTATATTTTTTGGGAATAAACAATGGAAGCCAACATAAGAATGGTTACTTTGAATGACGTTAATTATGTCATTTGGAAGAGGAAAATGAAAGATCTGCTTTATGTCAAAAAAATTTACAATCCAGTCTTTACCACTATAAAGCCTGATAATAAAACAGATGAAGAGTGGAACTGTCTATAATTTTCCCAACAGATCAAACACAAGCATAAAAAAAAACACATCTATAATTTTCAGGTACACAAACTGCAAGTGACGAACTGTCTCCTACATCTTTCCCAAATCCCAGCTTCAATTGAGACAGTTATACTCGAAGACAAAACAGGTAAGGGAAGATCCAAATGTTATGTTCACTAGTAATGATGACTAATAAGAGAAAAGGAATCAATCAACCAACTGCATCTCAATCCCAAACTAGTTGGGACCAGGGGCAGAGCTAGTAAGAGCTCAGGACGTTCATTGGAACCCCTTCAGCAGAAAATTACACTATTTTATACATAGTTAAAATTATATTTTTTGCATACATAATGTAGATGTTGAACTACTTCTTGCTCCACCACTGGTTGGGACAACTAGTTATCAATTCTGTAACTTAGAACCAACTATGGAATTTTCACAAGGCGGAATTGAAAAGAGAATATAATGAGGGAAGAGGGCACTGACATCCTGGAGAAAGAGAGCCCATTGAAGCGCATTTTTGATGTTATGTGAATCCCAGTGAGCAAGACGACCAGATGATTGATACCCAGAAGCAAGAATGACCATATCTATGAACCCTTTCACCATTTTCAGCAAATCTTCCAGAGAAGCATCTGGGTATGACCAATTTGCCATCTTCCAACACACTGTCACACTAGCCCGGGATTTTCCCGCCTTAAAGGAAACTATTCTCTTCTTTTTTCCTAAAATAAATCTAATATTAGACGTGTTCAGTCCCTAAGGCCTAAGTAATGTCGATTGCTATTTTTATAATTCCTTAAAACTTTATTTTTATTTTATACGAGTATCTTTTTTATAAAAAAAATATTAAAATATTTTTATACTTAATTATTTGGAAAGACATCTTTGCAAGATTATTATTTTCTTGTGTTATAATTGCAATAGAACCATGGGATATGTCAATACTTCTCTTGTGTTCTAATTGCTACTAGAACCATGGGATATGTCAAATACTTCATGGGTCTCAATTACGTGCCACAAATAAAATTAGAAGAGTGAATCAAATTTGTATATGATTTTAAAATATTTTAAAATGTTAGTAATTATGATTCATAATTTTTTTTATATAACTTTTAAATAATAAATGTTACTTCTTCTATTCCAATTTATGTGGCAAATTTCTAAAATCAAACAAGTTTTTGTTTTAGAGAGAAATTTCAAGAATCATCCAATTTTTTTAAAAATATTTGAAGTTGTGAATTATTGTATTTTATGACAATAAATTGAAACTAAAATTTGTTTGGCATTAAAATTTTCATTACAATTCCAGTGATCCAAAATCTTCAAGGTAAAATACAACGAGTCAGATAGACAGCATAATTTTGTAAAGGCAAAAGCGAATATGGCGCTGTCCTAGTATTCTTTTTTTAAATAAATTTTTCTTGCCAAAAAATATTTAAAAATCTATCGCCAAACACTAACTTAAGCTCAATAGCCTTCGTCTGTCTACGTGACAACCCATACTAGGTAGACAGAAAGATCATTTCGCATTCAAGCATTCATAGAATAGAGTCGAGCATTAAGAAGAAGCATATCAAAACTTTTGTATCCACTTGGATATAAGCATTCAAAACCATGGAAATGAGAACCATTTGATGTCATTGATCATCACAAAATTTCGAGCAAATAATTCTTATCAAGACAAAACCGTTCCTCAGATATCCAAAAACTTAATGACAAACCAACAAAAACAAGAATCATAAACTACTTAGGGGAGCTCCTACTTCTTCTACACAATAGCATTGGCAGCAGATGCAATCCTAGGCCATAGATCAGCACATTCTTTACCAATTGGACCAGTGATGGCAGACCCTACAAAACATAACATCAAAAGAATACGGTTAAGGAAAAGCATAAGACAGGTTCGTATATTTGTATCTTCTAAAGAGGATAGTGACTTCAAAATAGAATAGCAAAAAGTAGATTGAGTTACCTTTCATTTCTCCCTTAGGGTTCACAATCACACCAGCATTATCTGCAGAACGAAAAACAAATGAATAAGAGACAAGCTTTTAACAAGACTTGTGCCACAGAAGAAACTGTCTTCGTGTAGGCTATTCAGTTATTAATAGTGTAAACACAACATAGTGGCGCACACAGAAAAACAAAGCAGGCAAGCAATTCACAAAGAAGAGATAGAATTGCAACTAAATAGTAAAGATACGATCAGTCAATAAGCTATTTATCAATCACAAAAATTGGCAGCAGCAGCAATATCAACATAGAAACGAACTCATAACAGCAGACACATGAAAAGACCCCTCAATACAAATTCAATAATTGCCTTGCGGCCATCTATATATCCATTCAACTAAATTCTCACGTCCATCTGATTCAAAATGGATCAAACGGTACTAACAACTAATGTAGCAACTCGAACAGCAAACATTGAAATGCATTAATTGATTATTAAGAGAAATAAAGCCACGTATACATATCCACCATGGTATAGCTACTTATTTGTATATAATACTAGTGACTTCTAGTTCTAATCATCACATGGTTTAATAGTTGTTTTGGCTACTTTTGTAATACTCCTTGCTATTTGCTATACTCTCCACTGTCCCGTTGTTGCACTTGAGCAACAAGATCTGTGTACACTCTACCATCCTCGCAACTCACTTATGGGATTTCAAGTGGGTATGTTGTTGTTGTACTAGCAACTTCAACATTAGCACATAAGCCTCTCCCTTCGAACTCTTCATTAGCCATAACAACAAACAAAACCAGCATAGAATATAGCAAAATTCAGCTAAATACAACTAGAAAAAGCATTACAAATCAACATTTTGATATCTACCACATCAATTCCAAACTAGTTAGTATATACTGCATGATCCAGTATATTCCAGCCCATTTTCACAAACAAAATAAGACCAATGATACTTCAAAATATACCTTCGAAGTACATGAAAACACCGTCCTTTCGGCGCCAGGGCTTGCGTTGACGAACAATGACAGCAGGCATGACCTTCTTCCTGAGATCTGGCTTACCCTTCTTCACAGTAGCCATCACCATATCTCCAACACAAGCTGAAGGTAACCTGTTAAGCCTTCCCTTGATCCCTTTCACGGAAATGATGTACAGGTTCTTAGCACCAGTGTTATCGGCGCAGTTCACCGTCGCCGCCACCGGCAGACCCAGTGACATTCTGAACTTGTTCCCGGCGGAACCTCCTCGTCCTGAAAAGTTTCACACATCAAATCAAGATAAATAATTACATGTAATCAGAGAAAGAAGTGGAATACGGTTGAGTAATACCTCGTTTCGACATCCCGGACGGTGTTGTTCTTCACGATCCCAAAAATCTGAATAGAAAAATGAAGCTTTGGAGGCGTTAGGGTTTTATATACAGCTAAATCTGTAAAATTGACTAGGGTTTTTTTACTTGGATAACCATGGCAGCCGGTCCAGTACACTCGTTTGGCCCAGTTATACTTGAAAGTTAAGCCTGTCATGTGGCCCAATTCTTTAGGCCTGCTATCTGGTTCTGAGCTTTGAGTTTTTTTTTTCGAAAAAATGACATACGTAAGATAAACATGTGTTATGTATTTTCTAAATTACATAACTATGGTATTTTAGAAAATATCTCCTCTCTCTCAAACTCTTGCTCTGCGTCTCTTCTCCCCCCTCTCCCTCTTTCACATCACTTCTCTTTCGCTTGCCTCTCGACTTTAGTTCTCCCCAATTGATCTCATCCCACTTTCTCTTTTATCTCCCGCTTGATACAAATTGGGGATATTACTTGTACAAAACAATAGAGAGATGGTGGGGACTTCTTTTCTTACTTTTTTATTTTTGATTTCTTACTTAGACTCTTAGCATGCCTGAACGAGGGAGATATACATTATTGTATCAATCGTATCCTGAAAGAGTATACAGTACATGATACAAATGTATACAATTTGATACAATTGTATCTATTGATACGTTTGATACAAAGTGAATACACAACGAAAAGACACAATTATATTTGTTGATAGAACTTGATACAATTGTATTAGTTTGATATAATTGTATTTGTTGATACAAACAGTTGTATTTATTGATACAACCTCTCTCCTCTCTCTTCTAATTTTCACTCGCCTCTTCTTCATAACATTAGTTATGAATCATTATTAAGCAAACTATAGCTATGCATTTCTAATTAAGTCTGATAAGTGTGTATGTTCCTAGATGTTTTGATGATCTCCTCACAAGTGTAGGGACCTGGTCCTCTATAGAGTATGAATACTCGTCCAGTTGTCAAAGTGATGTACAGCTGTAAAAGTTGTCTGTGTCAAAAAGTTGGTAAAGCTGCAGAGTACTTTACCAATCAAAAGCGGGGATGTTTCTTGTACATTGGATAATATTTTTTCATGATATATATTCAACAACAAACAACAATATTACTCATTCATTCAAAAAGGGGGAGATACTTTCAATCTTCAAAATAGCAAGGGACCTGATAGAAGTGCTTCAATTGCTTTCTGTACTAGTTGTAGTGTTGCTTGCCTGTAATAGTTCTTATTTTGTAGGATTCGTTTCACTTGTGAAAGAAACGTTTCAAACTTGTTTGAATTATTGTAAGAACTAGGTTAAGGGTAACTTAGGTTCTTACTCTAAAAGTCTATATTAATCGGTTAGGATTAGTATAGTGGGCAGTGTTGTATCTGCTCTGGCTCAGCTAAGTGATAGGAGGTATTGCTTAGTGTGGAGATTAGCAGGCTAATCTCATTTTGTAAACTGGCTTTTACTTTTGCTTGGAGAAGATTAGTGAAAGTAGTTTGAAAAGTCCTGTTGAGAACAGATCGTGGACCTGGTCATCTTCTACCCTATTGGTGACTCTTTTGATCTTATAAGTTATGTTGATGCTGATTATGCATGTTTTTTGGTTGATCGAAAAAGCACATCAGGCATGGCACACTTCCTGGGATCAGCTTTGATTTCATGGGGAACAAAAAAGCAGAGTTATGTGGCATTGTCTACTGCAGAGGCAGAGTATGTGGTTACTACATCATTTTGTGCACAACTGCTATGGATCAAGCAACAACTGGAAGATTTTGGTGTACTTACAAACACTATTCCTCTTATTTGTGATAATACTAGTACCATAAACATGGTCAAAAATCCGGTCCAGCACAAGAGGACAAAACACATAGATGTAGGGCATCACTTTCTAAGAGACAATGTTGAAAAACAAAATGTGGTGATGAGGTTCTGTAAAACTGAAAACCAGCTGGCTGACATCTTTACAAAACCATTAAGTAAAGAATTCTTCATCAAAAATAGGATGCGGCTAGGGATGCACAAAATTACCTGACACCTCGACAGATTTGCACAAAAATCCTCCTTATTGATTATGTTAAAGAGGGCAGGTATCTATACTTGTTTTAATGTTTGTCATAAAAGAATTCACTTTTGGTACCTTAATGCAGGTATACACTCATGGTGTGTTTAGCTGAAAGAAAGGTTCAATCACACAGGCAGAGTTACAAACTGAAAGGAGGACCTGGTCCTCATGAGGTTAGTATCAATTATACTACACTGTCTAAATGTCAACATCACTGCCACGTGTCACTCGCCCATTCATCGCCTCAATTTCAAACATCTTTTTGCTTTTAAACCAAAGGTCGCTACTGTTGGGGACCCGATGTCTTTTTGGTTTTATATACTACTTCTCTTAGTGAATCAAATTACAAA